GCGACTGCGTAAAAATAAATGCAAATTATTCCATGAATATTCAAGAGATTCGGGCAGTTTGCGCTGATTAACCCGAGGTCCGAGCCCATTCAAGAAAGAACCAGTTCAGAGTCGGTTGCACAAACAGAAATAAAACGGCAAAAACAGTATTAATTATTAATAATTTCAGTACGAAAGAAATTGCAGCACCGCCAGAAGAAATGCTGCCGCCAAGTATGGCCGTAAAAAGGCATGATATGCGGTCTACGACCATAAGTAACATTTTTCAAGAAAAACCATACATACTCGTACTTCGTGTTCGATTATGTATTACCTAAACTCGGGGCTGCATAGAACATTTCAAATATTTTTCCTTTTTTTGCAGAGTAAAAATATGCGGTTTGTGTGTCGCGATGAAATTGATTTTTAAATGTTATTTTAGCTTCATAGACGCGTATTCGTCACTCGTTTGGAGTACGCCTGGTTGCTACTGCCATGCAAAACTGTGGATCTCGGACGGAGCTGTAGCTGTAGCTGTAGCGGCGCACGGTGGAAAGACCCAATATAAAATGTTGGACATTGACTTAAAAATAAAATTTTAAATTAAATAATTTTGGTAGAAGGTTTGAATTACTTAAAGTCCAGACCGTTATATTTTATTCAACTCAAAAAAATATTTTTAATTATATGTCTGTTTGAAAAGTTTCAAATGAAGATATTACACTGACTTAATTATGGTATTCATTTCTTGTGAAACAACCTAGTTTTATAAAAACTGGCAAAGACATTAATAATTTTTTTTAACCATACATATTAGTGCAAACGATTGTTTTCACTTTAAAATAAAAGATATATATAGTCACAAAAGTTTGGGAGAACAATTGTATATAAGAGACACATAAACATTTTTTTGCTGCCAAATACTATATTTAGTAGCAAAAAAATGTGTATGTAGAAAAATAAAAAAATGGCCAAAGTTGGCCAAGACTTTATATATATCACAAGGTAGATTAAGCCTTTCTAATAACGAAACTAATTTAACATCTTGCCCCAGCTTGCCCCCCTCTAAAAATTTCCATTTAATATATTACTAATACATGTTATACTAAAATCAAAAACCTTTTCAATTCCAATAAATTAATTTAAAATTTTTAGAGTCAAATTATCTTTATTTTTTTATAAATTTATTAATATTTAATTATTAATTGGATAAATACAAAATGACGCTAAAATCAAAAACAGATACAGGGTGCTACAAATATATGGAAAACTTATAAACTATTGGAAAAAGAAAGAGGGTTAAAGTGCAGTGTTGAGGTTTTTGTTTGTAATAAAAATATTCTAGTGCGTTGATTTATGTTATATTCTTTGCTTATAATAAAGTTATTGTACAGGGTGTCCCACTAAGAATAGCTCTCGGCTATATCTCGGAAAGTATTAGCCGTGAGGCTTGCGGAAAAAAAATATTCATAACTAAAGAGACCATGAGAAAATGCTGGAAATTATTTTCAAATTTGTAGAATGGCCGCTAGAGGGCGCAACTGCTATAAAAAAATAAGAAAATGGAGTTTTTACACAACTTTGCCTAGATAAGGGGTACTATAAATAATAGCTTCATAATCTTCAGTAAATTCTGAATATTTTTTGGTAGAACCATTTTCCCCTATCTGCCAAAATAAAGTGGTGGGGGGACTGGATGGACGGAATCAAAAACCAAACCAAACCAAACTAACGGGGGCTCGTTTAAAATACCGTTTCTTACTCTATATTATACCATATAAACAATAATAGTAAGCATTTGAACGTAGATGCTAGGGGGCGCTGTCTTACAAATTAACAAACATTGCGCGTTTTTTCAAAAAAAAATAAATGCGATGGTATATGTAATTTTAGCTGATAGTAAAGAGTAATGAAAGCTTAAAAAGTCAGTGAAAACCGCATCTTCATATCTTCTTTCAAATCGAAGATATTAGCAAAATTATATTAAATAGGAAAATATATGTAAGCCCTTAATTACCATATTTTTATAACACGGTATCAGTAGTCTTAGATTTCAGTGGTAAAATCATCAAAACTAAAACATTCCACGACAGTTTGGCAAAGTTTATAAGCATTTAAAAATTGTAAGATTTTTCCAAAACATACTATATTTTTAGGTTACCCTGTAGATGGTTTGTAATGAGCCAACCACTTTCTTTCATTAAAATTTAAAATTGTTCTGTTTATACATTATTACGGTATATAAAAATCATTTTTTCGTCTTTTGGATTAAAAGTGTTGAGAAGAAAACCTCATGTCCAACCGCTCCCATAAGCTCGTTCCACTGTGCGGCGCTGCTTGCAAGCTAAGCTACATGACGCCGGGCTACGTCGCGCGTCGAAACAAAATACGTAGTGACAATATACCATCCTGGACACTTCATCTAAGTGGTCTGTATTTTATTGCATGCGATCTTTGAATAAGAAGACTAAGGAAGGAGCATAATGCTATCCATGTATTCATGCATGGTGGGCGGAAAAAGCGCCATAAAAGCACTCTAGGGTGGGGATCCTTGACAGTTCTGTTTGACGATTCATTTGACACATTTGAATTTGATTTGAAATTTTGTGGATTTGTCAGTCTTTACGGAGCTTATTTTATGTTATTTATTATTTATTCTACTACTGATAGTTGTATAAAGGTAGTAAATCTAGATGGAAATTGTGGCAGAACTTAAATTAACAGTGACACTATCGCGATTTATCGAAAAAGACTCTAAAATAGTTGGTTGTGTAGATCTCGGCAAAAATTGAGTGAAATAATGGAACAACTTTTCGCTAGTAAGTGACTATATAATATACATACGTGTAGCAAACCGATCATTTATGAAATTCACTTTAATTAACTAAATTATATATTTTTCTTGCATTTTAGCTTTTATTTATTACTTGTCAAAGATTAGATGTCAAAATTTAGATACGTTAATTTGACTTACCTGCTTCAGTAGCGTATCGGATGTTTGTGGTAATAAATACTTATTATAACTTATCTATTTTTATTAGAATTATATATTTTTATAACAATTTTAATAACTACCAACATTTATTCACAACGTAAAATAAAACAACAAATTATTGAGTCTACCCCACGTCTACCCTACATCATAGTTTTATATTTTTTAAATAAAATTAGATCGACACTGATAAACCGGAATTTAAGTCGGCCATATTTGAGGCCCATCGCGGTGTACCTAAGATTTTTTATATGCTCCTTCCTTAGTCTTCTTATTCAAAGCATGCGATAAATGTAAATGACAGAGAGAGTCCAAAATATAAAGCGGTATACAGTGTTGCCTGTCTTTACGTGCGTAGGAACATGTGTGTAGAAAAAAATAAACTATTTTAGAAACTTTTTTAAATAATTAAAATTTATTTGTATCTATCAAAATGGCGAGTACGGTTGCCAGATTGCGGAAATGTACGGCTGCAAAAATATCCATATTTGTATAATAATATCCTTCCTGAATATACAAGAAAAGATGAGAGGTCTTGGAATGAGGTGGCTAATGAAAGAAAATAGACAGGTTAGTACCCTGTCAATTCATGCCACCATAATCCAATCGTGATACAGTAGTAAGTCAAAATAACGTGTTCCTCGTTCCTCGTTGAACGGAATTGTCACAAATGGATGAAAACGTACGCTTGCAATATACGCTTTGTGGACAGGGTTTACTATGACGCTAAGCTACAGAATCTGCACGGCGTATTTTGAAGCCTCTATGAAGCTACACCTCTGTGGCTGTGAACAATAGGCGGGGTTGGCAAAAATCATATTTAAAAAAAATCCAAAAAATTAGATTTCTGTATTTAAATCAGATAAAACAATCTTTAAATTAAATCAGACAAAACATTATTTAAATTGTATTTCCAAATAATTAGGACTTATTTAAATTAAAGTTCTATCCATTTAGGATAGAACTAGGTTAGTAGAAAAGGCAGAGTTACGAAGATTTAACCTAAATGGCTAAATCTTCGTAACTCTGCCTGGTATCGATAACATTAATAATTCTATGGCGTGTGTCATTTTTTCACATCGGTCACCAATATACCGGGTACTTCTCAAAAGTGGCTCACCCCTATAACTTTATTTTTTCAGATAAAAAACGAGATTTGGTATGTGGGTAGATGACATAAGTTCTTTTCGGCCACTTCCTGTTTCACAGGAAATGACTACAACTTTTTATTTTTAAAAATGACACCTTCGATATTTTTATACTTTTTACGATAGAAAATGACACTCTATCACATGTTATCTTTTGACATTTTCGCTTAAAACAAAATTGTATTTTAAATTTCAATCTAGAGGGCTGTATTAAAAACACTGTTTTTTAACCAAGGAGTCTTGGAAAAAAAGATTTGATCGTCTAATGTTTTAGTATCTTGTCCTGGCCGGTTAAAAGATGCCCAAATCGTATTTTTAATAATATCTCAATTTTTTCAAATGGAACGAGAGTGGTTCATTAGCATACTGGGAAAAGGCATTTTTTGCGAACAATTTGGTACCACACACTTGGTATTTCGAGTCAAATTGTCGTTATGAATCGCAGGTCGCAATTTCAAATAAACCAAATTCGAAAATGTCAAAAGTTGACATATGATATGTCAATATATTCAGAATGTCATTTTGTCAAATAAAGTCACAAAATACGGAGGATGTCATTTAAAAATCAAATGTTGTAGTTTCGTCGGTGTCGGTTGTAGTCATTTCTGGTGAAACTGGTATTAACTAGTCATGAGCGAAACTGGTCTTAGTTTTGCGGTCTTGGTCTTGGTCTTGCATGTATTGCAATGATCATTATTGAAACTAAAATAATTTTTCATTTCTATTATCTTTATTTACTTTATACTTAACAACGATTCATAAAGTATCACTGACCGTTATCAAGTGTGAACTAATCTAAATCCTAAAACTACTGATCTTAATTTGTATATTTTTTGTAGTCAGACATGACCACTTATAATTCGTCTGAATCCTTGTTTCAGATACACAAAGCCACAGACGTTTGCGGATTGTATAGGAAACGAATTGCCTCTCGGATGGGAAGAGGCTTTCGATGGACAAATTGGGCCGTACTATATTAATCACATGACCCGTAAGTATTCTTTAATAAATTGTTAACCACGATTCAAATTATGTTATATATTATGACCGTGTATATTATACACCGACCAACAAGAAAACAAACATCTTAAAATGTTAATCTATTTTAAAGTTCAATAAGTATCAGGATATACGACGTTTCGTTTATATTTTCATCAGGGTGGGACTAAGGATTTGATATTGAAGAAAAATGTGGGTCGATTTCGACATAATTGGGGACGAGCTACAGGATGACGCCCTCGACGTTTCGAGCCGATGCCTCTAAATGGACGAAATCATCAGGGTTTTTCTTAATTATTGGTTGATTGAAACCAAACTTGGCACGTTGATAGAGGTACCCGAATGGAGTCCTCAGACAAAGGAACAGACGGACAGACACACAGTGGAACGGCTATATGGGGACGGAGAGACATTGTGATATTTTAGAAAATTTTTATTTATATTTGCATTCATGACAATAAAAACAGATTTTTATACTTGATAACATAATAATTTATATATTTGTTTACTTCTGTTTACAAAATTAATGTTTCTAAACGCCAAACATAGATAATTATAAACTTCAAATCTCAATTCTCCATGTTATTGAATTTTTCATAAAGTCACTTAAAAATCTAAATAAAACATGTACTTACTTGAAAATGCTTTTCACAAATTAACGTTTTTCTGCACATTAGTGTGTAGCATAAAATAAACATATATATCTAAAAAATCTTAATTACTGAGATACAGGGTGGTCAATTTTTCAAAATTTTTTTTTTATTAAAACACTGATGTTATTATATTTGTATACTAGCGTGTACCTACCCGCGACTTCGTTCGCGTCGAATTAATCATTTGTAATGGTGATGATAAAGCAAAGCAAGAATTTCTATTAACATACAAACTGGATAAAATTTTCTCACATTTATGTCAGCATAAGAAAAAATAATATGGCGATATTATTATATAACTTGGTAATATTTGAGGGGTAGTTTCATCTCGTTGGAATTTGACTTTCGAAAAATCCGTTTGCCAAAAATAAGCTTTTTACGTCAAGCAGTTGAAGCAGAATCGTGGTTAAAAAATTACACAACTTTTTGGAACACCATGTATGATTTTTTAAAAAAATTTCAAAGTATGTAAAAAAAACCAAATAAACTATGCTTGTTCAAGCGTTTTCCCGAAAGACCGTTTTTTAAATAACAAATATTGTAATATTTGAGGGGCATTTTCACCCTCTTGGAATTTGAGATTCGAGAAACCCCTCCTTATCGAACCTCTACACCCCACATTAATCCGTTTGCCAAAAATCAGCTTTAAACGTCAAGCAGTTTAAGCAGAATCGTGATTACTCAATGGTCATATTTTATGAAACACCCTGTATAACTTTATAAAAAATCTTAAAATATGTAAAATAACAAAATAAAATATACGTGTTTAAGAGTTTTTCCGAATAACTCACCGGTTTTTAAATAAAAAATATTTTAATATTTGAGGGATAGTTTCACCCCCTTAGAATTCGAGTTTCGAAAAATCCCTTCTTATCGAACCTCTACACCCTAAAGTCAATCTGTTTTCCAAAAATCAGTTTTTTACGTCAAGCTCTTTAAGCAGGATTGTGATTAATCAATGACCAGATTTTTCGAAACACCCGGTATACATTTTTAAAAAATCTTAAAATATGTAAAAAAAGAAAATAAAATATACGTGTTTAAGCGTTTTTTCGGAAACTTGACCGTTTTTTAAATAAAAAATATTGTAATATTTGAGGGGTGGTTTCACCCTCTTCGAACTGGAATTTCGAAAAGTCCCTTCTTATCGAACATCTACACCCTAGAATCAACCTGTATGCCAAAATTGAGCTTCTTACGTTGAGTGGTTTGAGCAGGATCGTGATTAATCAGTATGTCAGTCACTTGAGGATTTTATATATCAAATATAGATATTGCAATGTTTGGAATTAATTCTTAATTTAAAAATGTAACACTCTATATTACATTGTGTTCCAATACCTTCAACATAATAAATAAAAAAGCAATAAATCGCTGAATGTTCATTAGCATTATTACGCACAAGCGGTAAAAATATAAATAAAAAGTTGTACGTAGTTTTAACAGCACATAGTTGTAATACTTAACGTGGGAAAAAAGGAGAGATCAAATTGCAAACGAATAAATAATTCATAAATGAAATAATTATTCTATCGGCGTCTCACTAGAAGCGGATATCGTGTCTTGTCAACATTTAGTTCGTCGTGTTACTACTGATTCTGAAATGTTACCTACGACAAATTTATTAAAAATTAATGTTGTATCTGTCACCACACTTTGAAATGTTATATGTAAATATTTGGTAATATAGGAGTCGTACCTACCGTTTCGTTTTCTTTGAGAGGTTTTTGTGGCATTGGCACTATACAGACCGGACCACCGTAGTAGTAACATAGGCAGAACCGGACGAATTAGCGTATACCCGTCCGCCGCGCGCCGGATAAACAGCAGGCGAAAAAATACGATAAAACAAAAATAGGTAGATATGTGATAAGAATGTTTCAGAATTTGTATTTATTCGTGTTTTAATAGCCTAAACGAATACATAGATTCTCGCGACAGTTCTCGTGTAAAATTTATTTTTTAAGTAAAATAATGGATGTTTACGAAGTTCGTGAGAAAATTCAAATTGTAAAATAGTATTTCCAAAATAGGTCCTATCGGGATATACAAACAATTTTTCCACAAACTTTTGTAAACAGGCCAATTCCATCTTTACCTACTATATCAAGAGTTATTAATAATTTTGAAACACATGAGTGTGTGTCCGCACAAAAACACAAAATGCGTGATGTGTTGATTAATGAAGAACAGGAGTTAAAGCAAGTGTTTGGGGTGGTTTTGTAGCGGAGCATATGATTGGTCCATTATTTATAAAGGGTAATTTAACTGTTGCAAAGTATTTGGACTTGTTACAGCAGCAGATTGTCGCTAGAATTCGTGAGTTATTGGGAGAAAGATTCCACAATGTCTGGTTTCAATAAGATAGTTGCCCTGACCACAATACCCGTATTGTTCAAGAATATTTGAACAATACTTTTCCCAACCTAATTAGTGAACATGGAACTATTTTGTGGCCCGCTACATCACCAGATCTTTCTCCAAATAATTTCTTTTTGTAGGGTTATGTAAAATCCAGGGGCGGGAAAGTGAAATAGCAAAAGCGGTTCCACCGTTTCCACGGAAATCTCAAATAAAATAGTTCCAGCCCTAGCCACTAGGTGGTAGTGCAATTAATTTTTAGGTTAAGAAGTTGCTACTAGTTATTGCCAGATGGCGTTAAATCAGAATTTTTTTTGTAGTTAGCAACGGCCATTGTCATATTATTGTCAAATTCTCAAGAAATATTGTCGTTGTCATAGCACCAATCATAATATTATCAAATAAATGATAAATTAGACAATTCCTTTTGTTTGTGGCCCTAAAAATATAATGTAAGTCTTTTATTTTTGCTTTCATTTAAGTACCTATTTATTATATTTACTCCATTTACAAAACTTTGGGCGTATTACGTTGGTCTTGTTTTATTATAATAAACGATGTTTAAATATTTGACTTATAAATGAAAACTTTAAATAATAAATAATATTTCACATGTTTGGCTTTAATTTTATTTAATAATCGTAGAAATTATACTGTTAAATCTTATTTTTTACACATCACAACGATACTTGTTATTAGTATTGTTGAATTTGTGTAAAAAAATAAGATTTAATAATCAAATTTAATTATTTTAGAGTAAAATTCAATAAATAAGCTCATTTAAAAAGCCCGCACTTCGACCCATTTAAAACAAGCCCTACTCAATAGATGGCGCCACTTCTGTAGGACCATTTTTCAGTATGGCAGAGTCCATTCTTTTTCTAGCTAGGTATATTCTTTGGTAAAATCCAAAGTGGGGGGTATGGTCATAATAGGGCTAATAATCTGGATGAGCTTCAAGTAAAAATATGAGAGGCTTTCCAAACTATTAGCCCTAATATGTTTGCCAATGTCAGACGGGGATTTTTCGACCGCCTAGGCTTCTGTCTAGCACAAGAAGGTGGTCTTTTTGAACACTTGTTATAACTTTTTTTTATTTAGAGTAATATTTTAGTTTTTTTCGGGTTTAGAGAATTTATTTATTTTTAATTTTGGCTTGTAAACACACTCAAATAATAAATATTTAAGTATTTTTATTTTAAATGTTACCTTAAGTGAAAGTAAACACTTAAAATGAAAATAATAAATACTCGGCACTCCTCGCGTCGTATTCCTAGTGTTACGACCGACCCGTCCAAGCACAACTGCAACTGCGTACTGCCTGACCAGCCGACTAGCCGCCGGCAGTGAATCTCTAGTACGAACGCAAATCGGGTAAACGTAAATTCGTCCGGCAACTTGCTATGTTACTAGTAGCCTGGTCTTCTCTGTATATTTATTTATGTTTACACATGTAGAATATAGAATATATCGGAGGGGGTTAACCACTGCGGCCTTATAGATCTATTGTATCTCCCTTTCTTGGGTTATAACTCATCATACCATCTCAGGGCTCTTACAAAAGCCAGTATCTGAGACGGTTTTACCGAGGTTAGTTCTCCATCTCCGATAAGTCGTACCAAAGTTCATGGCACGAATGGTTGTTGTCTCGTCGCACTCAGTGATGAGCTGTTCTGGTGTTTCTCGATTTTTTCCTCAGAATCTGCATTCGCATTGTTTCTTAGCTTTAATCTACTGGAGTGTTCATTGAGGAGATAGTGTTCTCTTAAAAAGCCCGTGACAATTCGAAGATTGATCTTACTTAAATCAAGGGAAATGTTTCATTTTTGTCGGTCGTAGGTTCTGAGAAATTCCTTCGAGTGTGTTAAACCGTTGGAAGATTTTCGTTCCAGGTTACTGGTGGAGTTTTCCAGGTTCTTGAATTCTGCTTTAGGGTGGTTTCCACTTGGGAAGCAGAACGGTGGAGCAGAGCGGAGTGTTGGCTCCTTTTCGCGCTAAATCGTTATCTTTTTCATTGCCTTCTATTCACAATCTAATAAATCTTCTAATTTACAAAAAAAGATCCAAAAAAGTTTTCGAAAAATATACAAAAAAATGTAAAATTTAAGACGTGTTCTTTTATTTTACGTTAGTTAAGTAGGTGATTTTAGTTTTTAGTTAAGATTTTAACCAAATTTGGCACAAAAATACTGTGGCACCCTAGAATCTAGCCATTAGTTTTTGGTGGGGGTGGAGTGTTGGTAAGGGGGTTAAAAATTTTTAAAAATCGTACTCCAAAATTACAGTAGCTAGCGAAACGCCGTTTTTAATTTAAGATTAGGAATAATATTTGCAACAAAATTTGTAATAAATGAAGTCAAATTTTAAGTTAACAATAATTACTACCTGATCACAATTACTTTAAACCAAAATTCTTAAACTGTCTGTATGTGTGTTTTAGATAAAAATAAATTAATTATCAAGAAAGCTTTCCATACATTACAGATACTTGTAATCTAAAAATAGAATTCAGGTACTTATTGATCAATGAATTAATAGAGTCAAATTGTATTTATATTGTTGAAGTTGCTTTATGAAATGTATTTTGGGGATATAAAACTAGTCTTTAACTTGTTATAGAGTCCACACAACTAGAAGATCCTCGACAAGAATGGAGGGCAGTACAAGAAGCTATGTTAAGGGATTACCTGCAAACTGCACAAGATGTTTTAGAAGTAAGTACAAATTGCATTGTTTCTTTCTTGGTTGCAACATTAAGAATAAATGAATAATAATAATAGCCCGTATAACGCCTTGCCAGTGAAAGACAAAAATACCTTAGTAAAAATGTACAGGGTGTCCCACTAAGAATAGCTCTCGACTGTGTCTCGGAAAGTCTGGTCTACTGAAAGAAAATATTTATAACTAAAGAGGCTATGAGAAATTGCTGGAAATTATTTTCAAGTTTGTAAAACGGTCGCTAGAGGGCGCAACTGCTATAGAAAATAGAATTTTTACAGAATTTTGCCTAGATAATGAGTGCTATAAATAATAGCTTCATAATCTTCAGTAAATTTTGATTTTTTTTTGTATTTGAACCATTTCCCCCTATCTGATAAAATAAAGTGGTGGGGGAAGGTTAGATCTGTCTTTATTTAACTGTTAATAACTCCGGACTGGATGATCAGAATCCAACAAACGAGGGCTCGTTTAAAAGAGCTTTTCTTACTCTCTATTATACCATAAAAATAATAGTAATAAGCTTTTGAACGTAGACGCTAGGGGGCGCTGTCCTACAATTTTACAAATATTGCGCCTTTTTTCAAAAACAATAAATACGATAGTATATGTAATTTTAGCTGATTGTAAAGAGTAGTAAAAGCTTAAAGTCAGCGAAAACCGCATCTTGACACCTTCTTTCGAACAGTTCATACCGAAAATATTAGCAAAATAAATAATAAATTACACAAAATAAGCCATTAATTACCTCATTTTTACAACACGGTATCAGTAGCCCCCTTGATTATGCCCATTCTAATAAAAAATGAAATAGAAACAGTTTATTTTAAAATCGACGATATACCAGAATACCATAATACCAGATGTATTAATATCTAATAATTAAGATATTAATAACAGTGAACGATGATTCAGTGAAGTCAGTGTGGTAGGCTTTGAAAAAAAGTTGCTTTTGACGTAATAGTATAAACGTCAAATTGTTATTAGATCAACATTAGATAGTCTTAGCAGCTAAGACTATAAAAATGTTGATCTAATAACAATTTGACGTTTATACTATTATATACTCACTTATTAATTCTTTTCTGTTTCGGAATAAAGATTTAAATCACAAATCATTTTGAAAATTACCTAAATTTTAAGTTTTAAGTCAGCTTTCGAAAAATGACTAAAGCCATTAAAATGAAAATTTAATTAAAAAAGGCCAATTTTTCTATTCCGAAATAATTTTTATCATTATTTTGTCGATTGTTGGACGTGAAAAATATGGAAGTGCGCCCCTGTGCATTCTCCATATACAAACCCGTTTGAAGCCCAGAGGTCACCCGTGTCTCTGGGCACGAGCCATGTCCAAGAATGTCGAACTTACACGAGTTCTTTTTAATTGTCGTAAGATCTCCTCCTTTCGTCCGTTTCCATATATTTTTTCTCCGTTTTGTATTTTAATGCCTCGGTGCTTAATTCCTAATTGGGCACATCTTCGGCTCTGTTCGGATATTTTCGATATCGAAGAATGCCATAAAGTAGTTTTTTCGATGCGTTTTAACTGTACTTTGGTTTCGATGTCGATTTTGGAAAAAGTGTTTATGTTTCCTTGCCTGATTAATGTTTTTACGCGGATTTTTTTTAGATAATAGGGAGAAATACCAACTTAAACTAATATTATTGGACAATATTTTATTGCCCCAAAAAGTCTTCTGGTTATTTCACCACGCTACACAATCAACTATTTTACAGTCTTTTTCGATAAATCGCAATAGGGTCATTTCAAATTTAAGTTTTGCCACTATATTTCCTTCTAGATTTACTATCTCTAAACAACTACCTGTTGTAGAATAATTACTAATAAATCAGTGTCAAAAGAATCGTCAACAGAACTGTCAAGGTTCCCGACCCTAAGTCCCCACCTCCGTCTACTATGCATGGATATAGGTATACATATAGTACGAGCCCTAACAACTATATGTTAGGACAAGGTATTTTTTTGCAATAAAAATAGTGATTTGTTAAAACGACTAAATTTATTTTGTTTATTATTCTAAATTCAAACATTACAATATGATCTAGACAATTTTACTATATTTTTATAACTTTGCAAACAAATCACTTTTGATAATAGCTTATTTTGACAAAATCAAGCCAAATTTGCTGACAACTATATATTGGGACAGCACAACAAGAAATTTGTTTAATACGGAGTTACATCATCGCCTTAACAACTGTCTGAACTCTTAATGGCATTGTATTTACCAAAGATTGGCACATTTGAGGAGAAAAATTATCCCAAATTTCCTGCAGTTTTGTCCGCAAATCAAAAATTGTTCGTTGAGGGTGGTTTCTTAAATATTGCTTCATTTTATGCCACACAGTTTCTATAACAATAAGGATGGGATAGAACTTTTATATTATTATTACCGAACCAATTTTTAGTTGATCTTGCTGAATGGCACGATGCTCCATCTTGTTGGAAAATATAGTCTTCGTTTGGAAACAATTCTTAAGCACTAGGCAAAAGTGAGGTCTCAAGAATATGTTGATATTTTTGGGCGTTAACAGTGCTATCTATAAAATTTAATTTGCCCAAACCTCTTGCTGACATGCAACCCAATCTTTATGAAAGGCTTCTGCTTTATTTCGTATTATTCGTTTTCGATGATCTCCCACGCAAACATCAAATTTATACTCATCGCTAAATATGACCTTATTCCAATCATTTTGTGTCCACGATAATTTAGATTTTGCCCAATTGTAGCGATTTTTTATTTGAATTTCTGTCAGTAGCGGTTTTTCTTTGGCCTAAATAAGAATTTGTATCAATAATCTTCAGGTAATTGATTATCCACACAAAATAAAATTTACCCTGTAAAACCCCAGACCGCATTTGTGGATATATTTTCTGCAACATTCTCTTGATATATTTAAACCAGTTACAGTATTCCATTTAACTGTTACTTCGCGAAGAGTACTTCTTCTCGCAGACTTTTTACTAAATTTCGTAAATCTCTCTTAGATACAACTTTTGGCCTTTCCGAACTTTTACCTCTAACGTCTACGTTGGCAGATTCGCCGTATTTTTTTATTATATTAAAGACCGTGGTTTTTGGAATACTTAAATCATCAGAAATTTTTCGAATTGTTTTTCCCGTACTGTATTGACGATTGATAATTTCGCGTAGTTTTTGATTTGTAGCTTTTCCACGGACCATTACTTTGGATTAAATTAACAAAATTGAAAATTAAAACAAATTAAATTTCTTACAGTAAATCTCACTACTCAAAGTATCGAGTCACTTACAAGCTGTCAATACTGAAGTAAACAGTTTGCGACATTTGTGACGTTTATAGCAAAGCCGCCTATGATGATATTAATTATTTAAAAATACTTGTCCCAACATTTAGTTGTCAGCAAATTTGTCTTTTTATGAACAAAATCCGCTACTGTAAATATGGATTGATTTACAAATTACAGTTGAAGGTTGGAACCTTTGGTGTTACACAGCAAAATAAAAACACTAAATCACCACAATACACCAAATCACTTTTACTTTTACACTGGACGCGCGTTTCGCTAACCATGTTAGCATCATCAGCAGATGATTATAAACTCTAAATTAAACTCAATTAAATTTAAACTTAGTTTATAATCATCTGCTGATGATGCTAACATGGTTAGCGAAACGCGCGTCCTGTGTAAAAGTAAAAGTGTTTTGGTGTATTGTGGTGATTTAGTGTTTTTATTTTGCTTTACAAATTCATAAAAATATTGTCAAGTTGTTTAGGTTATATGGCTATGTTTATATTTAAAGAATTAAACATATATTTTTCAGTCATTTTGAAAAACCAGGGCAATAATTCCATAATATGACCTTGTCCAACATAGGTATAGTTGTTAGGGCTCGTATATAGCATATAGCCTTACACTTAATCGTTAATCTTTTTATTCAATGGCTGCGTTAGTTCAACGGAGACCAATTTGTCAAAATATATATCTTTTAATCAGATTTTTTTATCTTAATGGTTTTTTTTAATAATATTCAAGATTAAATTTGCTTTAAAATTATACACATATTAAATACGGGTAAGGGAATGTGCAGAATCAGCCAAAAAAAAACAGTGTCCGACTTCTGATAACTACCCGGCCGGACACTGGCAAGCGCTGTACTACTACTGACAAAATAACACTTTATCACTTAAAAAAAAATAATTAAAATCATTGGTAGGTTTACGAAAAAAACTGTTATATTTAACGTGAAGCCCCATAACCACACTATCTATTTCATAAAATTTCATTTCCATTCCGTCAATACAGAAAATTTAATCAACAATTTAAACTCAACTTTTTAAACTGTCCGACCACGGGCTAATTCACCCTATTAAATCTATATTTTTTCTTATCGATAGATGTCCCTGGTAAGTTTAACGAACATATTTCATCTTCACGTCGAAATTCTTGTTGTTTTTTTGTTTTTTGAATTATATCGGTAATGCTTTTTTATTGCCTACTTAAAATTCCAAAAGTCGAGTATCAGCTACCGGTGTTGTGTTCTGCCTACTTCATATCTACATCGTGGAAGGTCGACAGACGGAGGGACACAACAAGAGAGACCAGTTATCTCCTATCTCGTTCATTCTACCAATGGCGTTCGAAAAAATATTCTGAAATTTGTTTTTTTTTCCTTCATTATTGTTACACGAATTTCGTGGATCCACTAATTTAAACTCGCGGTAAAAATATGTTTAAATGTGTCTTATCGTAAAAACGTTTTTATTACCGTTGAATATTTTACTCTAAATCTTTTAATTTTTGTTAAATTAAGGAAAGGTATATCACAGCCACCTAGATTTTATCAATTAATAAAGATCTACTGATGCAAATTCATAAAAATGAAAATATCTAGAAAAATCTTCGTCTGAGGGGTAGGCAACCTTAATAGTATTTTGAAGATATATGAATTCTCCATTGAATATTGGAATAATATACTTGGTGTTCCATTTA